AACCGTTGCTGTAATTTCTCTTCTTGTTTCTTTTCTTTTTCCTCTAACAACTGCCGTAATTTCTCTTCTTGTTTCTTTTCTTTTTCCTTTAATAACTGCTGTAACCTCTCTTCTTGTTTAATTTCTCGTTCTTCTTGTTTCTTTTCGTGTTTATTTTGTTGTTCGAGCTGTCATTGTTGCAGGTTTTCTTGCAACTGCTGTTGTCTCTCTTCTTGTTTCTTTTGCTGTTCTTGTATTGCTGCCATTAAGTCTGCTAGGCTGTAGTTTTATTTGCCGCTTCTCGTTTCCATTTTCTTTTTTATCCCACTTCTGATACCAATTTGTTACGTCTCCGTTTGTTAATTAATTTTTTGTAACTTCGTTCCGACGAAACTTTAGCGACACAAGTCCTTACTTAATAAAACTGGTTTATTCTTTCGGAATATAACTTTACGATACACTTAATTTCAATATTCGCGCTAAAACAAACACTATAACGAACGAATGTTAACTTCAACAATACCTTGTGACTGCAGATCAATTACTCACTACCTACACACATAATCTCACGTCACGCCGTGACCATCTTATATATACCAGACCACCCCCCAATCTAGTAAATGCTAGAGCACTCCCGAAGTAACTGGATAGTTCTAGAAAGCAGGTGGCGTGACGCTAGTCACGTGACCTCGCTGACGCAACAATACTTCAATAATGTGGTGCATGTACATAACCACCATGACAGAACAGATTTACAAGATACTTCAATTATGTGGTGCATATACATAACCACCATGACAGAACAGCTTTACAAGATACTTAAATAATGTTGTGCGTGTACATAACCACCATGACAGAACAGATTTACAAGATACTCAGTAATGTGGTGCATATACGTAATCACCATGACAGAATAGATTTACAAGATACTTCAATAATATGGTGCGTGTGCATAACCACCATGACAGAAGAGCTTTACAAGATACTTCAATTATGTGGTGCATATACATAACCACCATGACAGAACAGCTTTACAAGATACTTAAATAATGTTGTGCGTGTACATAACCACCATGACAGAACAGATTTACAAGATACTCAGTAATGTGGTGCATATACGTAATCACCATGACAGATCAGATTTACAAGATACTTCAATAATATGGTGCGTGTGCATAACCACCATGACAGAAGAGCTTTACAAGATACTTCAATAATGTGGTGCATGTACATAATCACCATGAACAGCTTTACAAGATACTTCAATAATGTGGTGCGTGTACATAACCACCATGACAAAAGAACTTTCATGAAGTCATGTGTTAATAAGGTTACAGTGAATAACCAACCTTTGCAAAGTATTGAAATAAATTGCTAATGAAGCAGCTTTGATTTCATTAGAGAACCACCAATTAAAAGGATACTGAAATAAATTCATTAGTTTAGCCTTAATGAGATTTGCTAGTATATTTTATTAATAGGTAGAAGAGGAAACATATATTTCTTGATTACCTATTTTTCTTGTTGTTAAGTTCAAAGCTCCACAATTGACTTTATGTTCTCTGCTAACCACGAATATCTAAACATGAATTTTATCTTTATAAGTCTTCAGACTTACTGCTGAGTCACTGGGGGGCTTCATTAAAACAATGTTGTTACTTTACTTGTTTCCAGACTTACATTAAATGTTGTAAACTTGATTTCAGAGTCTTTAGATGAGTTAATTGAAATGACAGTACCCTTGTTTTGTGATGTGGAGAACAAGAATGTCACAGTTCCTGAGTGGTTAGAACATCCTTATGGACCAGAACAATTAAAGGTAGGAAAAGATCTAGCTGTTGTAAACAGTTGAAAACAATGGAGTTATATATCTTTGGATAAGAATGTTTAGGGCCATTGTTATTGGAAGGCTAAGGTCACTAACCAATTAGTGACTAAACAGAAAGGGAGCATATTAAAAATAATTTTACTGATTAATTCATTTACCAAGTTTGCTGAACATTTATAATATTGTCAGGTTGTTGAACATTTATGATACTGTCAGTTTGTTGAACATTTATAATATTGTCAGGTTGTTGAACATTATATCATAGACACAAATACCTACTTGCTAGTGTTCCACAAGTTAGTTCATCATAGACATAAATACCTGCTTACTAGTGTTCCACAAGTTAGTTCATCATAGACATAAATACCTGCTTACTAGTGTTCACAAGTTAGTTCATCATAGACACAAATACCTGCTTGCTAGTGTTACACAAGTTAGTTCATCATAGACACAAATACCTGCTTACTAGTATTATAGAAGTTAGTTCATCATAGACATAAATACTTACTTGCTAGTGTTACACAAGTTAGTTCATCATAGACACAAATACCTGCTTACTAGTGTTACACAAGTTAGTTCATCATAGACACAAATACCTACTTACTAGTGTTACACAAGTTAGTTCATCACAAATACTTACTTGCTAGTGTTACACAAGTTAGTTCATCATAGACACAAATACCTACTTACTAGTGTTACACAAGTTAGTTCATCATAGACACCAATACTTGCTTACTAGTGTTCATTCTGTTCTCTTTTGAAGGAAAATGTGGTCTATCAAGAAACAATACCATAAATGTTCAACAACCTGACAATGTCATAAATGTTCAACAGCCTAATAATATTAACATATAGTACTCATATCATCAACTGTGTTACCGCTAACTAAGTTCTATACATATAGTACTCATATCATCAACTGTGTTACCGTCAACTAAGTACTGTACATATAGTACTCACATAATCAACTGTGTTATTGCCAACTAAATACTATTAAAGAAATTTTATAATATTCATTGGTATTTTATTCTTTGTTTGTTACATGACAGATTTTTAACCAACATAAGAGGGACTCTTTTTTTTTTTCATTTGGGGGATGGAGTAACAGCTGGAAAAGGTTGTAGAAAATATAGGAGAGTTCTGAAATCTTTTTTCCCAGAAAAAAAACATTGACTTAACCATTTTCTTATAAAAACAAGTTAAATGCAGATGTTTTTGGATTGTTTTTATATCAATTTTTATGCCTATGAGTTTTGCAATATTTTATCGGCTTTTGCACTGAAACCATAACTTATCCAGACAGGCCAAAAATTTGTCAAACTGAATCTTCACTAGAATATGGAACAAAGTTCAGTTTTTTGTGAAAGTTAATTTGTCAATTTTTATTACATTTTAATTGATGTATTTCATAAAGAACACTAATTTTCAGTCAATTGGTTTATGTTAATTTTTGTATTTATGCTGTATGTTAATTCTTGTGTTTACATATTGTGAATTTTGACTCTGTGTTGAGATTCATAATTTTTTCCCTCTCAAAATTTTATCAAAATGTAGCAATGAAAAGCTATCAATTAAGCAAATATAAATAAAGCTATTATTTGCAGTGTAGGGATAATCCTTGTATACTATTATGTGAAAATTCATTTTCTTGTGCAATAGAATTCATAAACATTGTGATTAAACAGTTTGAGTGTAAAATTATATGAATTTGTGAATGGTCATATAACATTGCTTTCCTACTTACAATCTCTTTCCCTGATGATGAATTAACATTTTGTTGAGTTGTAAGGAATCAAAGAAAATTGGTTTTGAAATGATTATTTAATAAATTCAATTAGCTCTTACTGTTCTTCATAGATAACTTATTACAAGAGCATATTTTATTCAGGGAGTCCTGATGAAAAGAATGGAGTAATGATTTTATAACCTTGATTACCAATGTTAAGGTTAGTAATCTTGTTAATCACGATGTTTTTATATTCTGATACCAATATTTATCTTTCAACGTTTTGTTATATTTAGCTCCAAACCAGTGTTGTTCCAGTTCAAGATATTAGGGAGTTGCATCTCTCATTCCCTGTTGCAGATCTTCAGCAGTATTATAAGGTAGATGTGAGTATTTTATTTGAATATTGTTTCTGAAGAACTGTTATCAATTCCTTCTTAAGAGGTTTCTAGTAAAAAAAAAGTGCCAAAGTACCAAAAAATATGAATTTTATTTTTATGATTTATCACTTTATTTTTTACGTGAATTATTTTAATTACATTCTATTAAAGCGTAATGAATGATTTGTTTAAATTTGATTTCTTAATAGAATTTAAATGTAATAACTAAACTGACTTGACTGTTTTTGTACGTAATGAAAATCACATTAGTCTTCTTCATCATTCGACCTGAATCCCATCTAGTTTTGGAATTGGCTGCTCAGATAGTTTGTATTAGCCAAGAAGTTTTACACTTGAGTGGCTGGTCCTGAAAGCAACCCTAAAGGGTGAGCACATTCAGTGGTGGGGATTTTAACCTGCAACCCTCAGATTGTCAGTCAAGCATCTTAATCATTAAGCCATACCAGGGTTGAAAACCCCATTAGTATTGGAAGATGAAAAAAGTAAATTGTAGAAAAAGTTCTAATGATACCACTTTATTTAAGAGTGAGTTGTTTTATAATCCTATGTAGCCTTTTTATTCACGTTTTCTTCCTCGATCTTGATTTAATTCAATACTAACCCATGATTTATATCCCTAATGGTATTTAATTACTTCTGCACCAAAAGTAGCATATGATAAAATTAGGTTTTCTAGCATTCGTTTTCCAGGTACTGTAAAAATATTTCAATGAACTTTTATCTCTAACCTTTTGACTGTAAGATATCATGCCACTACTGTGTGTGTGTGTGTGTATATGATCTTAATCTTTAATTTGTTTCAAAATACATGTTAATTGTAGATAATGTTTGTTTTGCTAATTATATTGATATATTGATTTTGTTTGTGTAATATCATGTTCAGTTTTATTCACTTAACTCCTTAACATTTTTTGTACAAGTCAGAATTTTAATTTGAAATTCAAACTTAAACAGTGGAAATACCTAAAATTTTAATTTATACATTATACCTATTGAAGATCCTGTATTTTTTATTTGGCATGTTACTGGATGTTGAGAAAACTTTGTCTTAAAAATTTCTTTAAATTGTGTTCTTGTTTGCAGCATGTTTCATATTTAGGCCATTTGATTGGACACGAGGGACCAGGTAGTCTTTTGTCAGAACTGAAATCTAGAGGTATGGATGTGTCAAGTTTATAGGGCTGCAGACTATTTTACAATAGGTGTCTGTGATGTGTTGGCGATGAATCTGAACAATAAATTGACAGCACACAATCCACTTGTTTTAAAATAATATATTCAATACAAGTCAAACGTATGTACAAAAATTCTTTACACTATGAGATATCACAGCTAAATCTAAAACTATAAATATTTCTCTTTTCTTGTTAAAAGTCCACACAAGCTGGTTCAATTACCTTAAAACCCAATTGACAAGACAAATTATTTTTCTCAACATTGTTTCTTACTATACAATCTGTGATAAATTCACTTAGTTACCCCATGAGTTACAACAGTTGTATCCAGAATTTTAAATAATTGTCTCTTTTCATTAAAGTCCACACAAGTGGGTTCAGTTACTTTAGAACACCCTTTGACAACATAAATTATTCTCCTTTATCTCTGTTAAACTGTGAAACTCATTTCAGATATCGCCCATTATGGCTAAACTAACAATCATGCAGTCTAACTTCATTTTCACTAACTTCACTTTTTCTAACTCACTTTAACTTCTTGCTTGTTCTCTGTATCTGCACACATTTAAAACACATGACAGAAAAATTAGAAATATCTAGCCCTCTAGTGACAAGAATATTCACATAAGAAGAAAGACTTAGAAGCTTCGAGTTAGACAATGTCAACAACATTACAAAAGCCCAGTGCAACAATTAAACTGCATAAACAATGTACTGAGTCATGTAATGAAACTTATCATAACTATCGCTTTTAAAATAATCAACATTTAACACTCTTGTTATGAAAACTGAATAGTCATTAAATATTATATAACTCTTAAACTAAATAGTCTTGTATATCTAACAGTTTGGTAACTATTTTCATTTGATTGATGTTTATTTTTCATTTACCTAATTTTACATTAAGAGAACTACCACATGACTGTGTAAATTTTAAACGAATATTACACATAAAAGTTTCATTTTCCATAAAAAACACCTTTTCTAGAATTGATAAAAAAATTTAAAATTTTTTAGTGTAAGATTTCTTTTTACTTCTCTAGTGAAAAATGACTGACTCTTTAAGTTCAATACCTTTCTTTTTTATTTGTGTATTTCTTCAAGCCAAATACATTATTTTATAACCATTAAGTTATTTTACTTTGTTAGGATGGGCAAATTGTTTAGAAGCAGGTTACGAGAATAAAGCGAAAGGATTTTCTTTTTTCGTTGTCAGTATGGAATTAACAGAAGAAGGCATTGGTAAGGTTCTTAATTCGCAGGAATTAATACAGTGATATCTTTATAAAGAAAGTAACTTGTCTATTATTAATAGTGGTAAATAATTTTAATTTAACTGCTCTGATTAAGACAAATATATTAACTGTGTAAAAAAAAAAAAACACCTCTCAGTTCTAATGCTGAATATCTTAAATTTAGTCAAGGACATTTTAAATTCAGCATGAGGTTTTACTTTTTATAACAGTGTCCAATAACAGAAGCTACCTAGTGTATAAAGACCTGCTTTATGATTGTGACATGGAATAGAGATATTGTCAGAGTCTTGTGACCCACTTTTCTGATTGAAATTGATTTTTGTGTGAAGGAGTCAAGATTTACTGTTGAAGTTTTATGCTTTTATTTCTTGCTTCAAGTGATCATGAGAGCCATCTTTATTTCATCTTTAAATACAGTTTATTTTAGATTTGAGCTAAACATATTACAATACAATAGTTATTTCCATCTGTACAAATCTTTATTCTTCTAGCAATTAAAGTGTTTATTTATTGCTTAAACTTAATAATAATTCATATTTATTTTATTCCATCTATAATAAATTGCTATACCTGTCCTTCGACAAATCAGGTAACTGCATGCTTGACTTATCCTTGAATTACCACATCTATCTGATTTTACTGTTACATCGCCTTATAACTTGGCCAATACAATACTTATTTCTCTCTCACATTAGTGAATGGAAGAAAATGCTTATTAGAACCATGTACAGGTGAATAATATTTAAGAAATGCACATTTTTAAAGAAAATTCATAAAACCTAAGTTGTTAAATCAACATATCAATGAAAAGTAGTGGATATGTCATTATTTAATTGACTCTGTCACAAACAGCTTCAGGCTAGAGTAAAAAAACATTAATAATGTGATACAATAAACAAGTTGATACCCCTAATGGCTCAGCAGTAAGTTTGATAGTTTATAACTTTAAATATTTGGTTTTGATACTTGCAGTGGGCAGAGCACATACAGCACATTGTGTAGCTTAATAACAAACAAACAAGAAATGAGTTGGTCAAGAAGTGGATGCTCTAGTTTCTGTAAAATGACGCATTCTATTCTAAGTTTTTATTTTGTGTTCATTCATATTCAACAAACTTAATAAACCTATCATTAGGTTCTGGATTTACAATACAAATATTATTTAATTTACATTAACGTCAAATAATAATATAATTGGTACATGCTAGCATATGTATATATCTTTTAACAGTATTAATTCAAGTACTACAAGTTACTTCATTTCCATTATATGTTAAAAATACAGATATTTAATTAGTAATTTTCACGTGGTACAAATACATCTCATTTTAATTAACTTCATTTATTGTTGCCAAACTCTACTTCATAGTAATTTAAGTTCTTTTAAAATGTTATCAAATAAATTATTATTAGTTTTATATTATATATATATATATACATATATATAAATGTTTTGTTATTTTTTACTTATTTCACTGTGTTTTAATATGAAATAGTGAAATAAGTAATATACTTAGAATTTTTTAATAATAATTATATGTTATTATGTCATATGTAGCTTGATGTCTTACAATAAATTTTTAAATTGCTTTCACTGAATTATTCTTTATCACAATATTAATTTTATTTAGATTAGTTTAAAGTATTGTCTGACTCTTAAGTTTTTCATGTATCCTCAAAGTGCTGGCTGGCTTAAAAAGATGGTTTCTGTCACAGTGACATTAAATGAACTGACTATGAAGAAAAACTAGATTTAATAGAAGCTTTTTAATGATATGAATGTTAATATTTAAATAGATTGTTTAATAATGGTTTCATCCTGATAGAACACACTGATGACATCGTGACACTGATCTTCCAGTACATTAACATGTTGAAGAAGGTAGGACCACAACAATGGATCTATGAGGAGTGCAGAGATATTGCTGCAATGACGTTTCGCTTCAAAGATAGAGAGCGTCCACAGTCTCTTGTGTGTGATTTAGCAGAGATGTTACATGTGAGTTATTACTTTGTTTTTGGTTTTCAATTTTTAAGTTTTTAGTAATATTCATACTTTTACTGTGTATTTTGCATATAAAACCTATAATTCAAAGGGGGACAAAGGTGTTGCTGTTATTTAGAATTAATAAAAATAATAAGTAAGAAATAATCAATGTATAAAACACAATAATTTAAATACTGGAAATTTTTCGGATTGGCAAATGACTCAAAAATATTGTGAATTGAGAACTACTAGTGATTATATTGGAATAAGTTTTTTTTCAGATTTCAAGTTACTTAAGTTTCAGATCTTTCTGGTATTAGATTAAACAAGTCCTCAAAGTTATCTCGGTTTTAAGTTTCAGTTTACACTGAGCTAAAACAGTTGTACTTTGAAAGTTCTACACCCTTAGAGATTATATCAACAGTAATTATCAAGATTCAATGTTCATAAAGGTGACTTTCCAGCTATTATTTGACAAGCATTAGTCAACTTAAATAATTTTAGCTGGACTTTTCTCTCAAGTTCAGCTAATTCATGTTTCCCAACCAAACTTCACTCACCATCATTTTTCCACACAGCTCTAGTGTGTTTTTTACATTAATCTTCTGTACCTTTTCTTGCAAGGAAACCATGTGCCACATTTCTTATACCAGATGATCTCCTCACTGCAGTTTTGACAACTTATGTCCTTCACTGAAATTTTACTGTTTGAATTCTTTAGCACTCTTGTAGAACATTCAGCAGGTTTCTGACAACACCCTGTTTTTTATAAGTCTGGTTTTTTGCAATAGACATTCTGATTTTTTTGCATGTGTTCACCAGAAATAGTTCAATTTCTACATAATAAAGTAAAGATAGTTTGTTTGATTCCACTGAAATATAGTAACTTGTCTGATTAGTTATTTAAACATATGTTTAAATACAATAATTGCATATTTTGACTTAATCATTACATTTTTATTCTAATTTTGGTATAACATTGAAACTGTCAGATGCTGAAGTATACGTCTTTATTACTTTTTCAATTATGGTTTTCATGCTTGACTTCCCTTCTAGATGTATCCAATAGAAGATGTTCTGTCAGGACCGTATTTGATGTTGGAGTATAGACCAGATCTCATTGAAGACTTACTGAATAGGCTTAGCCCAGACAACATTAAGTAAGCTAATGTTAATTAATTTAACTAGGAAATGATACAGGGCATGATGTGTCCAAGTTTGTTAAAAAAACAAAAACGTCTCAGGCAGTGCACTCACTGTTCATGTACTTCATCAAGTAATGTTCCTTTTAAGTTTATTAAATCACCTTAAAGGGAAACTAGGGGTATAAAGGATAATGCTCTATAATTTTTAAAATCTGAATGATATTAGTGTAAAATTTAAATAACTTATTTTCATAGTACACCAATCTACATAAGTAATTGAATGTAAGTTATTGCTCATGCTTCAATGTTGCTGTCTTATTTCATCATCACTGTAAAACGTGTATGTATCAGTCTTGTTCTGTCAATCCTCAATGTGCTGAATACTTAATCATTACTAAATTTGTAGCTATCAGTATTTTTCTGTCAACACTTGATGTGCTGAATACTTATATAATACTTTGAATAATATATTCAAAACAAGTCAAACATATGTAAAACAATTCGTTACACTATTGGTTGTCACAGTTCTATTAAGAGCTTTAAATAATTGCCTCTTTTTCATCAAAGTTCACACAGGTGGGATCAATTACTTTAAAACACCCTTTAACAAGACAAGTTATTCTCCTCTGTGTCTGTTATTACAATACAAGCTGTGAAACTCAAATTAGAAATTGCTCCTTACGACTAAACTCACAATCACTCAATCTAACTTCACTTTTACTAACTGAACTTGCTTAACATAACTTTTAACTTATATATATTATATATATTGCCCGACTGAGGTCTAGAACTTTCTACAAACTATGAAACATTATGGGGTAACAATACTCACTTGAAGCAACAAGAAAAATTCTGAAGGTTCGAGTAACATAACATCAATTTACAACAATTGAATTACACAACAAATGGTTCATAAACAGTTATGTAAGCAAACCTGTTTTTAATATCTATCTAAAAATACTAACTTAAACACTTGCACTTTATAACTGTCTAAATCATAATTCTCTTAATAAAAGTAAATGAAACAGTCATGTATATCTAATACTGAATAAATCATCACTGGATATGTAAGTGTGAACCTTATTCTGTCAGCACCTGATATGTTGAATACCTCTTCATCAGATCACCTGGGAATCAACCTGTTCTATAAACACTTAGTATGTCTGCTACCTTATCCTTCACTAGGTGTTTGTTTAGTTATAGCAAAATGTTTCATTAAATGCTTCCTATTTTAGTTTTTATTACTGTCTTTTGAACCTGAGATTGGGGTTTCACATTCCTTAACATTTACCAGTCATTGTTTGATTTAATATGAAATAGCTTGATGCTCTTTATGTATGTCTCAGTAATTTTTTTTTAACTTCTAAGCAAATCAAGCTACTTACGTTGATCAGAACTAAAAATATACCGATTAAAGAGAACAAATTAAATATGTGGTTAAACATTATTATTTATAATTATTTGAATCCATTGTTTTATCACTTTGGTACTCTCACTGTTAATATTGTTTTCAGCCATAATCCCTGTAATACCTCACTAGCTTTGGACAGACAATGAGGCTTAGGTTAGTCCTAAATCCATATAGTAAGCTAACAGTGTATAATAATCATTATAATGAAAATATAATTGACATTAGTCAAATGTAGAATGATAATTATAGTACAATATTAAACATAAATATGAAATTAGAAACAATAAAAAATAAAAGTATATATATTAAATATTTTACTCAACACTGAGTACCCACACTGTGGTAAAAGTCTTAAATCCATAAAGTAAGATAATAATGTGAAATAATTAGTATAGTAATAGAAATTAAAATTATTTATAATAAATATTGTTACGTCTCCGTTCGTTAGTTGATTTTCCGCAACTTCGTTCCCCCCTAACTTTAGCAACACAAGTCCTTTCTTAATAAAACTGGTTTATTCTTTCTGAATATAACTTTACCGATACACTTATTTTCAACAGTCGCGCTATAACAACGAACGTGCTCAACTTCAACAATACTCTCAGACTGCAATTCAATTACTCACTACACTGTTTTTCGTCACGTTGTGACCGTCTTATATATATACA